CCATTCTAGATTCTATATCTTAATCATCAAAATTTTAGCACAGGCCTGAGCTCAAAATGAACTTTCTGGTCACTACCACATCACTGACATCCTGCTGTGCGTGCTGGTGTGCATGCATGGCATGTGAGAAGGAATGGTGATGATCTAATGACCTGGAAGTCAGATTCTTTTTAAATACCGAAGCTGGCTTGTCCTTGGAAAGTGAGACGGCTTGGTGTGTGTGTGTGTGTGTAATGAAACTAGCAATTGTTGTTCCATTATAATACAGGTGATGATTTTCTGGACTTCCAATTGCTGCTTTATAATGTGGCTCCTTTGTACTTGTTAGAATTGTAAAACCTTCCATAAAGCACTAAATGGTTAGTATTGTAATCTTAGCTAAGGATCGTATTGTAGAATTTAGATTAAATTATTAGTTATCAGACTCAGATTTTTCAGGATTTTTTCCTCTTGATTGAAGCACGCCATACTTCTGTAATAACTGGCATTCAATTCTAATCCAAAACATCTGTTGTAGCAGCAATCGGTTAATTGCAAATTTTATAATTGTTGCTAAAGAAACATAAATGCACCAAGGTAAGAGTTTAGATCACTAAATTGATTTAGGTACCTACATTATCGGAAAGATTTTTGTTAACTTTCACATGCTTTTCAATGTGCTGCTTGATGTTTGTGGCGGGTGGGGAATGAAGGGTTATTTTAACAGTGATCCTTAGGCTTTCTTTTAGTTCTGGGCCCCGTTAAAATCCAGTTTGTTGGTTGACAGGAAATGCAGTGAATCAGTGAAGTGTGGTTGCAACATGCATGGGTTATTAAAACACACAGATTTGACTGGGCTGGTGAATTATTTAGTATGATATGTGCTTTGTAAAATATTTTTGAGATTAATCAAAAGTAGATCTAATGTCAGTTTTCTAATTTGACTTCTGCTTTGCATTTATTTAAAGTTATGGAATATGGTTTAATGGAAATTTTTAAACTTGAGGGCTGAATGAAGTACAAGTGTTAACCTGAGCTTCTCAACAAACCGGTTCAGATCTGGTTTTCAGATTGATGTTTGTAATGCCTATTCATTCAAGGTAATCTGTCCAGTGGAACACTTCACTGGAACAATCGTCAACTAATAGGGAGAAACAATACATTGTCTGCCAATATTTACTCCTGAGCATTATAGAATTCATTATTAATGTGGAACGATGCACATTTTTTTTCAGTTTTCAGATAGTTGGTTTGAAACCAAGCTGAAATTATCACAAATTTGGATCGTGCAATCCTGTGGCCTATTGGCCAGAGCTCTCACCTCACAAGCGAGAGAGGACCTGGGTTTGATTCCCGGGTAGGGTGAAATGTTTTTTTTNACTCCACACGCCTGTTTACCTAGCACTAAGTAGGAACCCGGTTGTTAGTCTGTTGAGGGATTGCTTCAAATAATAATCCCTTCAAATAAATACATAATAATAATTTGGTCACTCAATCCATGACTGTTAGTGGGATGCCACGTTTCGCCCACAAGATATATAGTCAATTTACTGTACAGTATGTTCTGTGAAACTCTGAGATGTCGCAAAGATGTGATAAGGTGCTATATCAAATGCAAGGATTATTATTACTTATGATTATTTTCTACTTGTACCCAAGGCAACAATTCAGAACTTTTGTACCTGACTGTTAATTTATTAATTATTGATTGTATAATTTGAATTTGTGCCTGTTGAGGATAATATAAATATTTTTACTTTAGATATTTGTTATAGAATGTGCAATCTCCTCCCTGGAGGGATGCACCCCTGTTTACCTAATTCTGGAAATTATTAGGCACAGGTTGACAAAAGCCAAGGCCTGGGAACCTAGAGTGTGAATTGGGTTCTGCAGGAGTTAAACAAGCTAAAACCGCACAGCTTGTTACTGAGAGCATTGCTCAGTAAGCTTGCCCCATTCTACTGGTTACAATTTTGGCTTGCAGGGTTTAACAGGAGCCGATTGGGAAAAATTCCTCCTCCTAGTTAGAGTTTGGAGGGGGGGGGGGTGGGGCAAGGAAGAGGTGCTTGGGATGGAGCTCCAGAGGACAGTGGCACAATGGCTGAACGCTTGCAGTGTTGGTGACAGTGGATTGGGTGTAGGACAAAGCAGACTGGTGTTTGCTGAGTGGTGGGAGTGGTCAGGGCAGTATGACTGCCTAATAATAATAATAATAATACTTGTTATTATCAGGCTTGTTGAGTAAGGAAACTTACCCAAGGTTTCACCCTGCTGGGAATTGAACCCAGGTTTCTCGCTTGTAAAGCAAGTGCTCTAACCACTGAGATACAGGATTCCACAAAATCCAGACAACATTCCCCAGGAGCACAGACATTGTGTGGAGTTTTGTTCATCTCAAACTTCATCCCTGCATCCTCTAGTCATATGTTCAAGTAGATTCTTATCTCCTTGAACATATGACTAGAGGATGGAGCGAAGAAACAACATACATGTTTTTCACTGAGTGAGCTCTACATAAGTTACCTGTTCTTTAGAGGAGGGTAGCAATATTCTTCTGATCCCTAATTCTGCCTGAGGCTATTATTTTAATCCTTTAAGATCCATGTCAAATAATCTGCTTCTCTCTACGTTATCTGTGCCTCATCATGTGAAAGATCTGGATCATGTCCTCTGCAATCTTTTTTCTCCACAAGTAAGAAGAGGGCAGCTTTGTGAACCCTACTTTTAATGTAGAGATATAATAATAATTCATAGCGCCTGATGTCCAAGACATTTGACATATTATGTCCAAGAATCATTCTTGCTTCTTCAATCTTAAGGGCCCAAAATGTCATGGGGATCACAGTGAAGGTAATGATGACATTTTATGAGTTATGAAGTGTTCCTTATTTTGCTAAAGAAATTCTGGATGCCTTTATTTTGGCATAAAAATGCAGCCATCAAAACCTTAATTACATACTCATAAAATGCTTATTTATGACACAGTATAATTTTACTCTGAATTCCATCTCTTTTGTTTATTTCAAAACACGCAGTCATTCCACATTACAGTATATCCTGTGAAATGCTTTTGTTGGATGCTGGCTAACCCCGAACAGCAGGTAAATTGAACAAATTGCCCGGCTCCGATCAATTTGTATTCTTACCTGTTTTAAATATCCCGGTTGATTCAGAAGAAAATCTGGTTATTGCGTACAAAATGCTGCACTGGTCGCCACTGAATGCACTCACTCTGGCCTTCTGTGTGTCCAGTGGCTCCATTCAGCCACGAGGGGCTCCCGGATGTGGATGGGAGGAGTTGAATTCTGATTGACAGCGGACTCCAGCCATTCACAAGCGGCTGGAGTTGGGCTGTCAATCAGTAATGAGATGGAGGAACGGAGAAGAACAGGGAGGGAAATCGAGATTGATTGACAGCTGAACCATTCACATGTGGCTGCAGACTGTCAACCACCTCAGGCTGCTGTTAATTGTTTCCCTTCCCATCCAATGGGAACGACAATGGGAGGGAGGAAGTGCCGCCGCTCCTGTGCTGGGCGGGAAAGTACTGAACTGTAACTTGTAGCCAAACAAAGGTAAATATATTTTACTGAATTGTGTGAGAGTATTTTAACTTTAACTGGTTAGTTAACATTGCTTGAAGTGGAAAAAACATTATTGCATGTTATTATACAGCGATGGCAGTGCTCCTCCGCTGGGCGGAATGGCATTTTGGTGAACCTCGGACACCTCTTAAGTCGGACAAAACGAGCATCTCCAATATGTCCAGCTTAACCAGCTTTCATTGTATTACTATATCACATGAGAATTATTTTATAGCATGTTAACATTCTCAGTGTTCATTTTAGGACTAGTCATGTTGGTTTGGGTCCTCTTTGACTGAGGGAGGAAGTGCCTTGTAGCATAGAACTTTTTTTTATCATATCCATAAATTTATGTCCCTTTGAGGCTACGCTACCAGTTGCCATTGCCATCCTATCTCTGCAGTGGTCAGACAATAATAGACTCATCCTTGCATTTGATACAGTGCTTTATCTGTTGAAACTTCCCAAAGCACAGTAATCACTGTGAAGTGTAGTTATTGTATATTTGTAGGCAATTTGTTTCAGTGAAACAACCCAACAGACTTTTTGATCCATTTATATCCTGCAGGAGTTGAGAAACTCAGCGATAAATATGTTGTTAAACTAACAAGGAAGAGTAATTTAGATTTTTTAAACTTTTTTTAGAAATGTGTATATCTGTAGAGTTGTATCCACTTTGCACAGTTGAACCTGCATTCATATGTCACAAATTGTGCTAATGATCTAACTTTAAACATTTTATATTGAAATGCCACACAAAATGTGCATAGAACCAGTTGTATCTTGTTTGCATATGGGTGCAGTTTCTTTGCTTTGGGGAGAAATGTTTGTACCAAATCTCTTGTGGATTTGTATAAGTAGAAATATGTTGGATTTATCTTTGGGTTAGAACTGTTAGTCAATGAAACATCCTTTCTGTCAAATGCTAGAAGTTCACTGGTAATGGACACGTGTAGCGGCCAGGTGTTGGAAATATTGCATATTGTTTTCTTTAGTACAATGTCTGATATATACCTGGGGAGAATTTTATGCATTTAGAATTGTTACCTGAAGCAATTCAATTGTGAATAAAGTCAGGACATGGAATCATGTGGTCTAAGCTAGTGTGGTCCAACTGGTGGCCCATGGGCTGCATCCAGACGATTCCATCCAGCCCACAAACAATTTCCGCACACAATGCCCACTGCTCCATTACCTGTTCCCTACCCCCCCTCCCATTGTAAATTTGTCGTTGATGTTAGAATTTTTACCTCTTCAGTGCAGATGTAAGCATTAACTGGATGGGAGCATCCTACCTGAAATGTTCATAATTGCTTCTGTCAACTATGACTTCCTGTGGTAATAATGGACACTCAGTAATCATTCTTGAGTGCCCATTATGTTCTGATTAAACCCCCTGAATGGAATATTTTAAGTAGTGCTGTTTTTTGTTTCCAGGACGGAATTGAAATGGCTGTCTGGACACATTCCCCTCGCCATACGCGCAGCAAGTCAGAAGGAATGCTGATTGATTTTGATGAGCACCCGCCTACAAACAGCATATTCTTAAAAGGTATGGGAAAGTACAATTATAATAGTTTGTGTCTTGTTGAAATTCACATATTTTCGTTTTTGATGGTTGATAGGCCCACTTTCTGTCGTCTTACTAATCCTCACAATAGTATCCTTCCTATAGTGGGGAGGGGGGGGGGGGGGGCACGAAGGTGAGTAATGTCTCTTTGGAGCTGAGCTGGCTTGAAGTTGAAGTGCTTGGCAATGAATGTCAGAATGGAATCAATCCTCTGTGGTGGACTCGGTAGTCTGATTTCTGTGCCAGGATCGACAGTATCCCAGGGCATTGCTGGCAACACATCAGACAGTCTGGCTCATTGGGAGGACTTGGAGAGAGAAACCAGTCACTGGGAGCAGGGATTCTTCATTACTCATTTTGTGTTAAGCATGTAAGCCAAAGTCCTTATGGATAGAGTGGTCCTAACTAGACAAGCAATGAGAAGCTTGTCAGACAGTGGTTTAAATGCAAGCAATGTGTTTTTCGGTGGTTAAATGCCAGCAGTTTAATCCCAACACACTCTTTGGGATCCTCAAGCCTGTGCCTAATACTCTCCAGATTTAGGTAAGCAGGGTACATCCCTCGAGCGAGAGAGTGCACATCCCATTCCAGACACAGGGACATTTCCACATGTGGGTGGCGTGCATTTTGTGGAACTCTCAGTCAAGTTTGGATAATCTTAAGCATGATGATAGGTTTCCGTATATGTATCAGACACCCAGCTGACCAAAAAATGTTATCAAAATAAATATCAATGAAACCTATTATTTTGGAGAAGAGACAGATTTATACTCTTGTCTTCATATTTTCTGTTCGTAATTTGGGGAATCTTTTCCCACTGAAACTTGTTTTTAATTTAATTCTGATACAGATAACAGTTATCAAGAAATTTCAAATGGACAAGAGACTGATCTGCTAAAAGACTGGAATGAAATGTTATTTCAGCCTCCCAAACCTGTGGGTTCTGGGAGTACAAATCCATTTTGGAATGGTCTGTCTGGATCTAATCCATTTTTAGATGACATTGTCAATGCAAGTAACAGAAAGAAAACAGACTCAGTGTTTGAATTCATAAAAGACCAACAACAACTGTTCAATACTCCAAAACCTACTGAGTCGGTTGCTTCTTCGACTGATGAATTGGACATCGACCATTTGATTCACATTGGAAAACCTTTTGCAAAAAAGCATGGACGGTGGAAAAGTGCTTCAGACATTTTAGATTTTTCAAACAAAGAAGAAGGTGTTACTCAGAATAACCGCCCCGTGAGTCAGTTTTTGGTTCCAAATTTGGACTCGCTTCAAAATGACAGAGAAGCTCACAAAATAGCATGGTTGAACCATAGGCAACTTACCAGATCCTGCCTTGATTTGGACATGAGCCAAAGCCCTGGCTGGGGACAGACCCAGGCTACTGAAACTCAAATTGTCTGTAAACTGGACCATAACGGGGGATGTCTTCAGTTGCCTGAATCTGACATAAGTATTCATGTACCTGAAGGTCATGTTGCACCAGGTGAAATCCAAGAAGTTGCTGCAAAGATTGTGCTTGACCCACCACAGGAACTCAATGATTATTTGTGCACAACAATTAGTCCATTGCTGGAACTAAAATTGAGCAACTTCAACACAAAAGAATTCATTTCTTTGGAAATGAAGGTTACAGCTCAAGTGAAAAATGACCCTTTGAGTCAAATTATGACCGAAATTGTGTGTTTTTGTAGCGATAATAAAGAGGGTCCTTTTGAGAAGTTGCACAGCATTTATGTGTATAAAAATATCATACAAGTAAAGCTTGAACATTTGAACCCTTCTATGTATATTGTAGCAGCAGCTGAAGCTAAGCACATTCAGCTTCCAGCATTGACGGTGTGGGACTACATTGACAAAATGGTCACTATTGGAATTTACGGGCCCAAGCACATCCACCCAACCTTTACTGCTGTGTGCACAGTCTTTGGGCACAATCAAGTTCCACTGAAACTTTCAGTCACAGATGTTAAAAAGAACAGGAGCTTGCCGCCAGTTGTTCTTCAGCTATGGGGGAAGCATGAGTTTCATTTACAGAGGCCGCAAAAATTGGAAATTTCAATTGTCCCCACGGACGCAACGTATGAGATACAGAAAGATGACCAGTACAAGTACATTAAGGAGGCATCGCTGAAAATGGGTAGGACAGTTCACCAGCAATTTCCTTTGTCCACATCCAGATTGGGAGAAGTTGATCCTTTTGAACTCCAGATTCAGATTACGGGAACTGACCAAAGTGTGGTATCCCATTTCACTGTGCTAACACCCTTGCCAACTGTAAAGTCAAATGTGAAAAGACGTTTCCAGAAACGCAAGGAGCAGTTAACTGCTAGTCCTTCACCCGAACCATCTACTATCAAGTACCCTCAGTTTCAAGAGAGAAACGTAAATATTCTGAGCTATGGAGTATCATTGAAAACTGTGCTGAGGCAGCCTAAGATTGAGTATTTATTGGAGTATTTCAAGGGCGACACTATTGCCCTTCTTGGATTAGACAAAGTCAAAGTAGTAGGTCAAACAAAGATCAAGGAGTGGTATGTTGGCTTCTTGCGAGGAAAAATCGGTCTTGTGCACTGCAAAAATATCAAAGTGATTTCCAAGGATCAAGTCATAAACTTTTCAGATGTAACCATTACAACCAAGCTGCTGCTTGAACAAATTACCCTTCCTTTCAAAAAGCTAACTTACATGTATTCATCCATCCGTACCATTGTGACAGAGAATGTTGTCAGTTGGAAGGCGTTTGCTGAAGTCGTTGGATACTCCAGTCTATCACTGGATGATTTTTGTAGGACAAATGTTGACAGTGAATTGGAGAGAGTTGCAAGTGTATTAGAGAAGTTGAAAGAAGACTGCCATGCTAGTGACAAGGTAAAGAAGAAATTCCAGCATGAGATTATTACGGTAAGTAATTTTATGTGTTGATGGAGGAATTATTTTCTCGCTCAGTCAAAGAGAGATCCTATTGATAAGAACCTTCTAAAATTTAAATTGAATTACTCTGATTAATTCCCCAACACCATTTTCTGTAGTTTTGTATAAAAAACTCTAAATAACGTCTGAAGTTTATTGTATTTTTGTTGCCAAAGTAAAACTTGCTTATGATTGGCTATTTTTTAATTCATAAGAGCACTTGCCAGAAAAAGTTTTGCAGCATGTCCTGGGTGTAAATTGTTTGCTCATCAACTGCAGATTATTTCTTCCAAAATTTGTATCACAGTCATGAATCGTGTCTTGTAGATGTCTTCAGGGGTCACGTGAGACGAGGCCTGTTAGCATCATGCACTTACCAGTCAATGTTGGCACAAAGCTGACAAAAAAACAGAACAAAACTCTGAAATAAAATTTAAATGTCAATAGTTTTAAATGCTGGAAGTGATTTCATGGGAGTAAGTAGCCAAGGATTTCAGATGACATCTTAAATCATGACCACAAAGCTCTTTGTGGTTTAAAATCAACATCTAAATCGTTGTAATCATTCTCTGATTTCCATCATTCTTTGTACCTGCTTGAATTTTTAATATGCATTCGAGTCAGTAAATTGATTTATTTGACTTCACAGAAAAATAATCTTGAATAGAACTAAAACTAGAGAAAAATAATTTATGATGCCTTAATCTCCAAGATTTTGCTGGTGTCTTGAGTATTATAGCCATATCATTGTTTCATTCTCTATTTAGTTATTAATCTTGCTTTAATTATCAGCAAACTGTAAGTAAAACTAGAACCACAGTAGATCATTTTTATAATGCACTTCATTATAATGTGGATTTGCTTATAGCACAATGGGTGAGGGGTGTGGATTCCAACATTTACTCACCACAAAATCCAAAATGCCATCTATAGTAGATGGTAGGAACCTAAGAGGAATAGAAGAACAAAGCAATCTGGGGATTCAGATCCACAAATCTCTATAAGTAACTACACAGGTAGATAAGGCTATTAAAAGGGCCAATGGGGTCTTGGGCTTTATATCCAGAGGGATAGAATATAAAAGTGAGGAGGTGATGTTGAATTAATGCAAAACCTTGGTTAGACCACATTTGGAGTATTGTGTTCAGTTCCGTTCTCCATACTATAAAAAGGACATAGCAATGATGGAAAGAGTATAGCTTAGGTTTACGAGGATGATACCAGGGCTGGCAAGTTACTGCTATCAGGATAGACTGGATAGGTTAGGCTGTTTTTTTTTTGCAAGAGAAGAGATGTTTAAGGGACCTAATAGATGTTTAAAATTATAAAAGGGTTCAATAAAGTTAATGTGAGTATGTTTCCACTGGTTGGGGAATCCGTAACCCGGAAACACAAATATACAACAGTTATTAGGGAATCTAAAAGAGAACTTAGGAGGAATTGCTTCGCACAAAGGATATTGAGATTGTGGAACTCGATGCCTGAAGCAGTGGTTGTTTCAGTTAGTACAGCTGCATTCAAGAGAAAGCTAGACCTTTACATGCGGGAGAGGGCAATATAAGGGTATGAGAGGGGGTAAGAATGGGTGAAGACTCGTGTGGAGTATAAACACCAGCATGGACTAGTCGGGATGAGTGGCCTATTTCCATGTTGTTTGTGGGAAAAAAAGGATGACTTCAAGTCATCAAAGATAACCCAGAAATGTGCCGATGTTAGCTTGAAAAAGCTGTCTGGTGTTTGAAGCAAGCCAGCTACTTTCTGTATGTAAGTGAAGTGAATGCAGAAGCACGGAAGTGTTTTTTGTGGCCCATTATTACGCTGGTTGTGACTTTATGGGCCCCCGACTACCACGGTATAAAGGTGTGTAAGGTTTGCCAGAAAGAGACTTTACCTAATACAGGTGGTGTGAACTACAGATCTTTTATTACATACAATTCAAAAGCTAATGCTTTAACACATACAATTATCGTATTGTTGATACATTAAAGCAGTAAGAATCAACAAAAACGATATTACCCGAATTCATTGGGGAAGTCGCTGATCACCAGCAGTTCACAACTGTTCCTCCTACGATAATCCCAACTATTTCAAAGTTGCATCTTTTATGTGTTTCTAACTCCATCTCCCCTTGTCACAGAGATAGCCCCATCCTTCGCAGGCTGCTAGCGACCTTGAGCAGGCTGCTTTGCAGAGAGAGACGGACAGCCTTTTTTTGGGAGGATTCTCATATCTCCCTGTTTCTTAGTCATAATAATAAAATATAATCTGCAGAATTATTATAGAGAACATCTTTAACCCACACGTGAATTTCTTATAGGAAAACCTATTCAACTACCTAATCGTTAACACAATATTGAATTAAAATACGATTGTTATGGAACATGAATTTGTTATGGAGAACATCTTCAATAACCTTCAATATAACTTTACCTTTGCTACTGCTAGTTATTAAAAACACAAAACCTTGTACATGCCCCAGTAACTAAGGAATGCTATACTAAAAATATTCAAAGTGTTTGGTTATATTCTAAAAGTATATTAATTTAAAAAAACTTAAACGTAAGCATCACAAATATAATCTTACAGGGGCTCTACTATTTAGACGTGTGGAAAAGCAAAATGCTTTCTCTTAGCTTGTGTTACAAATTGTAAATTCAGGATATAGTGATTTTATTTTGGGAGGAAAGGTGAATTTTACACTTTAATATGAAGGGTGTTTGCACTTGGAAGAGGATTGTATTTACATTTCTGTTTCACAGGATCAACATTAAGCATTCCCAAGTTGTGTGTGACATGTAACAGAAATCTTCTTCAACTCATTGCTGTCTTCTCTGATTGCACAGCTCCCATATGATTGGTAGTGTTTGCAAAATTAACATCCTGCGCTGAGTCTGGGAATCGTGTATATAGAAGAATCAGTCCTGACCCCTGAAGCATCTCACACAATACCTCCTTTCTTCGATTTCCCCCTATGCCTCCCCAGGCCCCATCATTTTGACATAGCAATTCTAGCCAGTTTCCCTCTGCTTCCTTCCCTGTGGCCAGTTACTAATCAATATCTATGTCTTATCCCTGATACCTCATGACATCAGTTTGCGAAGGTGTTTCTCCCGTGGCATTTTGTCAGTCTTTGAAGTTGAGGTACACTATTTGATACGACTTCTGACTGTTAAATTGGCATATCATTTAACCAAAAAAGCCAATGGTTTACAACTTTTAAGTCCAAGTCGGCTATCATTTATTCAGCTAGCTTTATACAGATAATATTCCATTGTGCTTCTCCTAGTTAATTCCTTTAGGCTTTTTTCTCTTATGGAGCACTTTAAGACACTACCCGCTATGAGGCTGTCTAATGAGTGTCTAGTTGCCAGGTATGGCTCTGTCATCTTTCTTTAACTATAGAAACCACATTTTCTTGTTTCAAGTCTACTGGAACTTCCCCAGCATCAAGCAAATGTCTGTCAGAGCTTCACAAATCTTTTTGCCTCATCTTTATAAGCATCTTGCAATACAGTTCATCTGTCCAGAGAGATTAATTGGTTCCAGGCCTTTGAGACAATCTACAATCTCAGCCTCAGTCATGTGTTGCTTTCCTGTTTGCGTGGTATTGTTTCAGCTGTTTCCATCCTGCAAGTTGTAAGAGTTACTTTCCTGGGTTTTTTTTTTGCACCATCTCAATCAATTTCCATTTGTAAGAATATTGTCATCTTGTAAGAATGGGGCCTTATTTACTTGGAGACTCACTGGCTGTAAGAACGTTGCTTTTTATAAGTGTCAGAGTACGTGAACAAAGGTATAAGACTGGGTTTTTGAGATAAAGTGCCTTTATGTATTACGATTAGGACTTAATTTAAGGCTTTGGAGTGTTATCAAGCTGAATGCTTGTGGCCACCTAATATTTTTAATTTGTTTTGAGTCGTACGTATTTTAATTTGTTGACATAAACGAGGTACTGGTTTTGTCCTCCTGACTCGAAAATCCCTGACTCTAGTCACTGGGGAAATTGGGTATAAAATACCAGCTCCATGATAGATATTAAAAGTTCTAAAGGTCGGTGAGACTTCACAAAGTTATTTCCATCTGGTGGGAAAAGGACAAGGGACAATTGGCGGTGGAAGTCTACAATCTACCTCTTAGGACACAGGCACTCAGTTACCTCTAGATGGGATAAAATTGGTGCAATAAGGCCTTAAGTGAAGAAACATTTTGCCATCTTGTTTTAGTTATTAGCAGTTGTGGTTATGCATCATGTATCAGTTTACTACAATTTGTCTTGTATTGTGAGGAACCTCAAACAAGATATTAAAGATGATTTGTGTGAGAAATGAAAAGCGCATTATAATTCTTATGGAACCTTGTTGGGGCAACAAAAAATGAATTGATGCTTTAGGTCTGATAATGTTATGGCTGACCTGGGAGTTTTCAATTGTAATATCGGGTGTTAAAAGTGTTCCATTCATTATGTACCGGTATACCTCATCTCGAAGACTACATTGATTGCTCAAACTGTCAAATTAAATTGGTGTAAAAGTCCTGATCTAAAGAAGTGAATAGATGTATCTGCAAAAGCATATTGGCCATTATACAAAATGTTCACATAAGTGTAATCTGAAACCACTATACATTGATGATGTAATAAAACAAACCTTTCCAAATAATGAATGTCAGAATAGTTTGTCCTGACCCATCTCTAGTTAAATACATATTTTCTTAATTGAATTGCACGTCTATTCAGTTTGAGGTGCTCTCCAATACTGATATTGAACCCTGAAGAAAATGTTTCTGTATTGTGCTTTAACTTTTATTCTGTTAACCTTACAACCATGTTTTTAAAAAAATGATGCTCTATTGCGTTGAAGGGTCTGTTAAAGCTGGATTGTCAAGGACCAATAACACGACTTATCCAAGATGTAGTTATGCTTTCAGTAGCTGTGGAACTTGGAATTCGTTGGAGAGAGTTGGCAGAAAAAATGTCCATGCTCTCGAAGCAGCAGATCGATGCCTATGAAGTGCCTCACAGAAATAAATATGGTGAAATCAGTGAGGAGGTAAGAATTTGCTAATGTAGGATAAAGTGTAGAATGATGAAAAGCCAATCAGGACATTAAACCCATTCCTCCATTGTCATACAAACTCTAATGGATCATGGATTTCATCCTACTTACTCTATCTTGTGGAGGAAAGTATTGTGTAGATACTCCTTGAATCTCAAAGATAATCAAGAAAAAAGCCCACATTATTTATCCATCTCCATTTATCAATCCTGGCTCCCTTCCATCCATGAACAGGAATATAGGAACTTAGGGATGCACAAAATAGCATCTGGCAGCTTTAAAGAGTCAAACTGCTCTATATTTCACACCACTTGAATGAATTCTTCCCCAAATAGTTATCTAATTTCCTCTTGAATTTGCTGACAATCTATCTCTACCTCCCTAGGTATTCTACATAGTCCATACATATCACTACACTAATAGAATCTAAACTGTATTTGTTTTCCTTTTTCTGATCTTAATTCCATGGCCCCTTGTTCTGGATTTGTTGACAATAATAGGCATATACTTTGTTGCTTGTTCTCCATCCCTTGAATGATATATTCCCAAGATCTTGTTCACTTTCTTTACATCCCACTCCGCTACCTGCCCCATTTGCTCTGCTGGCTCTGCTCACTTCTCTCTCCCAGCTCGATGTCAAGCTCTGCCATGGTTAAGCACTCCAAGATACTACCTTGTTTCTTGTTTATTGCCCCTACATACTGTGATGATAGTTTCAGAGATATACCTAGTACCCCTTTTGTGAACAAATGTTCATATACCCAGGGCTTGGAATCCACTTTGATTGGTATACAGTGAAGTAAGCAACTGCTGCTCAAGCCTGCTCTTCCCTATATTTCTTCCTTTCCGGGCAAAAAAAACTGGGTTGAAATGATGCTCATCAGGAAAACAATAGGGTAAAAAATGTTGCACACTAGAAAAATGGCTCAGCATGTAAAATGTCTCCTCCAGGGAACCTCACATATTGACCAATGTGAACTCTACTCTGTAGATTGAGTTTGGGACAAATGCCCATTTAAGCTGAATCAAATCAGCACCTATCCAATTCAATGGAGTTAATCTAAGCAACATCAATTGCTTGCGCTGTTAATCCATTAGATATTGTTGGAATTCGAATTTGAGATTGTGTGGCTATCTTTGTGTTTAGAATTCTGTACATTCACACCTTATTTTGTTCTTTGCAGACCATGTGGAAACCAGCATATGACTTTCTGTATGCGTGGAGCATGCAGTTTGGAGATGGTTATCGGGATGTCCTGCAAGAACTGCAAAATGCACTGGACAAGATGAAAAACCCCATCACAAGGCATTGGAGACATCTCACAGGAGTTCTTATTTTAGTGAATTGTATGGAAATACTAAGAGCTTCTGCATTCTGCAAGCATGAAGAATGAGACCGGAGTAGATTTGTCAATATTGAAACACAATGGAGAATGCAATATTCAGCAGAATTAAGTATTGATGGAGACAGAAATATTTTGGAAAAGCACAATTGTCTTTGGAAAAGTAAAGGGTAAACTACTAAGCATCAAGATGCCACTGTTTTTTGACAACAAGTTGAGACTGTTTGAGAGCAACTTCCAAGATTTGAGTTTGTTTTAAATGGATTTGCCTCAAAACTTGCTGCATGAAAATAAATTTGTGAATCAGTGTTTCATCTTCATATGAGTACATTTAACACAAAAAAAGTTTTAGATGCGGGTGATTTAAGAATACTTCAATTTTCCTTCCTGGCATATTTCCTATTTGGCTCTCTTTTGCATGTCTAAAGATGTTGATCATTGTTCCAGTTAAATGTTTTCTTTCGCAGATGATAACTAAAGTGATATAATGATGGCACTAGGTTTAATTATTTCCAGTGCCCTGGGATAGTTCGATAGAGTAATGGTCACAAAGGAATTTCATAATGGGGTCGAGTTATTACTTCCTTGAAGTTGTTTTTCTTATCCTGGCGTCGCTTCAATCTGTGCTCTTAATGTTTGTGTAAAATATTTGCTTCAAGCATAGCCAAAAATGTTTTAATACAACTTTTAATTCTAAAAGAAAAATGGTTGTTTATGTCATTGTGGGGATAATGCTTTAATCTGGTAAAAGTAGACTACAGTTATGAATTTTAAAGTGAAAAATCATTCTTCTGCCCTTTACCAGGTTATCCTAGCAGTTAATCTGATAGTTTAACATATTCAGGTTAAAGTTGCATTGTATTGCAAAATGCCATCTGCCATGGAGGGTGCTATATAAATCCAAGTTGTTGTATTGTTCATTACCATTAGCTTTGGTACGTCCTGCAATGAACGTGGCATTAGTCTGCCAGTGTCTTGGGAGACAGCAGTGAAAGAGGGTCTCATACAAAGTCACTCATTGTAAGCAGTCAAGCAATAGCCTCCACAAGATCTCACCAGTCTGACAGGTCCCAGAGTTATCTTTCCATTGACAGTTTTCCATTTGGGTTTTCTTGTTCACAATTGCTCAGAAATTGTATACCCGAGAATGAAGGTTGCAATAAGGAGGATTTTTAGCTCTAAATGAAGTTGTTCTATGCAAAAACAGTTATACATTTAGAAGATGTAAATAATCTAAGACCACTCTCTTTTTACTCTACTTAATCTGCTTTGATACATGACCAGTGTGGAATGTTACATTTCATGTTGCATGAAATCAAATCATATTGGAAATGTAGTGTTCCTATTTAATGTAAGAGATATGAATTAAGAACAAGGACAATGGTTTAAAGTTAAGGATATGCCATAATTTAATAAAATGGTGGAGCAGCCTTGACCGACCAATTGGTCTACTCCTCTTTCTATTTAAAAACAATCCCTGCCCCATTGACTGGTCTGTCTTCTCAAATCCTGCTGATGAGCAGTTTGGCTGAGCTGTCATCAACAGTGCCTTTGAGTACTGCGGACCTGTCTGGCTCAGGAACTGGACTACCAAGACCAGCACAGAGGGCAGGCTTGATTCTGACATTTGGTTTGAAACATGTCACCTTGGAGCCAGTTCAACTCCAAGGAGACCCTGCTTACCTGCACCAAGTCCCCATCTCCCCATCACTGGTTGGTCCCTTGACATCCAACAAATGTTTTTCTATAATACAGTGATATACAGTATGTGTATACAACTTGAATGCATAGAGGAACTGAATTCAAATAGCAGCACATATAAACCTTTTCATTAAAGGAGCATTGAGGAATATTCCTTTCCCCGCTCCATTTCCTTATCATTCCCTAGTGTAGAGGGCTACCAGGCAACCTGCTGTGGATTCGCTTCTCTGTAATTGTGAGCTAGGTAAGAATGGCTTGGAAGTGCTACACTATCACTTTATTTCCTTACTCTTCTCTCTTTGGGAAAGCACTCAATTTCCACCTGAAAAACTTGTTCAATAATAGGGTTAAATCTGTGCCATAAAACTCCTTTTCATTATTATGTAATAAGTCTCCAGTGTGGTGTGGAGCCCAGTCTTGCTCTAGTGTGCCCATTTTTCCCTTCCAGCCACAGATAGTGTAGCTTGTTTTGTTTAAAAAGTTCTAATTCTTTTAAGTTCTTCTAAATGAAACCTAAGATACTTTTAAGATCAGACATGTCCTGAAATATTTTAGTGAACATTGGTTCAACAAAAAGTTGCTTTATTATTTTTTACAAAGCCTGTACAGAACTAAGGCAGGAACTTTTCTACTTTGGAAATAAATGTGATAAAATGCCACAGTTCAAAACTAGCAGGTACTTAATTTCTGATAGTTTTACAATTTATCTTTTTCAGAAATCTGTTCCTAGCTATTACCTGAATTAAGAAGGTTAAAAGGATTCACTGGTATGTTATCAAATTCATGTGTATCATGTTATCAATGTATTGGAATATATTTTGTATCTGCTAAAGAACTGGCTGAAAAGCTTACTCAATGTAGGTAGCGCAAAATAAATTTTGATTTTAATGTTTGTCTCTTCACATTTTTTTGGTTTTGTTTTCTATGTACAATTCTGCCTGTTGTTAATGGGTAAGAGGTTTACACACTCAAGTTGTGTCTCTGTTGCTTGCCAACAAATTTAATCATTGGTCCTGACATTACATGTTATTTGTGCAGCACTTTGAGATGTTGTACCATGAAGCAATCCGGTGCTTAAAAAATGTTCAGGTTCTTTAATTGCTTAAAATGCCTAGGTTCTGTCCTAGTTTCTCAGACATTTATGCATTTGACTTCCTCCTGAGTTTGTATCCAGACATGCCCCTTCTTGTAGAGTTTGTGAGCATGTTAAACATATTAAAATTATTAAACACATCTCTGTTTACCTAGCAGTAAATAGGAACCTGGTTGTTAGTTGAGTGGTGGATCACTTTTTCAGGTGTAATAATCCCATCAAAAAAAGATTTAAAAAATTGGTTACTTCAATCCACGACTGTTCGTGGAACACTGCTTTGTGCAATTGGCTGCCGCGTTGCACCCACAAAATATGCAGTCAATTCACTTTACAGTCTATTCTGTGATGCGCTTTGATACGCCTTGAAGACCTGATAAGGTGCTATATCAAATGCAAGGATTATTATATTTAAATCTCTGCATTTGATGTAATGCCTACATACTAAATCACAAGAATGGTTTGGATGAAAGCCTTTTGGTCTACCCGATTTCATTCCTCCGGAATACCAACCTACTGCCCTCCCACCACAGCATCAAGCTGCTTTTTAAATGAGCCAAGCATCCTAGCCTCATTGCTCCAGGTAACTTGTATCAGTCGTTAATTACTCTCCGGATAAAGAAAAACTTCCTGATATTTGTCCTGAAATTACCTTTGCAAAGCTAATCTATGTCCTTTTGTTCTACTGCTTTGTTGCGTCTGGAAATATTGTTGTAGGTTTATTTTTTCAATCCCATTTAAAATTGTATACATCTCTATAGGGTTTCCTCCAATACATCCCCTTTCCAGACTGAAGAGCGCTCAGAGATGCCGCCTGGTGTGAAGGACACTATATAAATGAAAGTTGTTGTTGAAGAGCCCTACAAAAATAGGTGTACGGAACTCAGTATCTATTTTCACAAAATAAGTTGTCCATTCCCCCACCCCCCACCCAAATACTGTTACTTTCGAATAACTTCATTGATCGAGAATTGCATGGAATTTCTAGACTAAAAATCTGTAGTGAGAAACAACATTGCATTTTCACCATCCTCTGAAAACCTTCCATATTGACCAGCTCTGTTCTTTTTGTGGATTCTACTAGCTTCAACTACTGGGCTCCTCCTTCAGTTCCTCACTGGCTCAGTGGTTGATTCCAGCTTTCTCCAAGGTAGGTTTCTTGACATCTTGAAACTGTTTCCTGATCAATTATCAGACTCTTGTAACTTGTACTCAAACAATATGGTCCTGATTTGTGGCTTTAGGAGATTGATGCCTATATTAGGCATCTCCTAACCATAGCTTCCTCCAAAACGGAGACCATTTCCAGTTGTGTGAATATTTGCCTTCCTGCTGCTTTTGGTAAACAAATACTATACAACTTTCTGATAAGTTTGGCATTCATATAACTGCATGATGACTTACAGTGGTCAGGTCTTCATTTCCTGCTTGTTCAGATGCTTAACTGAGATAGACTAGATGTGTTATCTGGACATCAGCAGTAATTTAAGACACAGTGACTCATTATTAAAAGCTCTGTGGTAAACATACGGGGGTAAACCATTCAAAAATAGGAGCCATCAAAATAGTTTTTCAATGTCAAAACTACAGTAGTTACAATTTACTGTTATAGTTATTCACTAATTGAAATGAAAATCCAACAATGTAACAAATTAAGGAAGAGCCATTCGGCAGATTATGACTTAAAAATCCAGAAAATTTAAGCAGTGAAGTCCACCCACATGGAATATTCACATAGAATCACAGAAATACCAGCAAAGCAGAGGGTCATATTGTGCCTCTTCCATTCCTCATCTCCCGTTGTAACCATTAGAAAGGAGGTGTAAAATGGGATGGCTCAAAAACTACAATACAATAACAACAAGATTACAATTGTATAGCGCCTTTCACGTCGGAAGGACGTCCCAAGGTGCTGGACAGTACAGCATTTCAGACCCAAGCTGGGGTCGGGGGGGAGAGGGGAGGGGAACGGGGTGGCCGATGGCATGGTCGAAGAGGAGGGTCTTGAGGTGGGACTTGAAGGAGGCTAAGGAGGGGGTGAGGTGGAGTGATTGGAGGATGGAATTCCAGAGGTTGGGGGCAGAGTGACTGAAGGCTCTCCCGCCAATGGTGGGGCGGGTGGGTTGGGGGACATGGAGCAGGCCAGAGCTGGCTGAGCGGAGGGAGTGGGCGGGTTGATAGGGAGTTAGTAGTTCGCAGAGGTAGGGTGGGCCGAGGCCATGGAGGGCTTTGTAAGTGAGGACCAGGATCTTGAACTGGATCTTCTGAAAGATAGGGAGCCAAAGGAGTCGTGCGAGAGTGGGGGAGATGGGGTCAAGGAGTTTGGTGCAGGAGACGACACGGCTTGCAGAGTTCTGGATTATCTGCAGCCTGTGGAGCGAGGAGTTGGGAAGGCCGACAAGCAGGGCATTTGCATAGTCGAGCCTGGATGTGATGAAGGCATGAACAAGAGTTTCAGCGGCCTGAGGGGTGAGGTAATGGTGGAGTCGAGCGATGTTATGGAGTTGAGAGAAGCCAGAGCGGGTCATGGGTTGGATGTGGGGAAGAAAAGACAGTTGAGGGTCGAACAAGACACCTTGGCTCCTGACTGGCTTGGTGAGTTGAAGTGTGCAACCACTTAAGCTCATCCAAAGACTTTTCAAAACTAGGAAAAGTTGGGAAACAGAGGCAAGTAAATAAAGAGTGGTCCAGTATTGTGGTATGATCCCAATTTCCTTTTATTTCCCTACAAATTTAATTGAGACCTTAAGTTGAGGTCCCATCTGCCTGTTCAACTGGACATTAAAGATCCCATGGCACAATTTGAAAAGAAAAGGGAGTTTCTCCCAATGTCATGGCCAATAAATTCCCCAAAATAAAATTAGTCATTCACTTCATGGCTGTTTGTGGGATATTTCTTGACCTTATTCCTCCCTAATCCAAATACACCTCAAAAATGCAGTTTAATTTGACTCCTCTAATCATTGATTATGGAAAATTGCTGATAGACTGGCTGCTATTTTTGCCTACACATTCCAGTTGTCAGCCTGGGTCAGATGTGGCGCTGGTTCAGTACTCTCACTCTAAGTCAGAAGAAAGGTTGAATCCCCATGTTGGGACTTCAAGATCATAACCTAACCTGACACTCATCCAGTGTTGGGGGGCCCCTCTTTGTCAGAGATGCCATCTTTCAGATGAGATGTTAAACCAAACTTTCATCTGGCTGTTCAGATGGATACTAAGGATTCCCATAGTACAATTTGAAAAGTGAAGAGAGTTCCTCCCACTCCACCAGCCACCAATCCTCCAGAATAAATTATTCACTTCATAGCTATTTATGGAATGTTCCTATGTGTATATTGGCTGCTGTGTTTGCCTACAAATATGCAATCTCTACAATAAACCTTTGAGACATTATTGAAATATTGAAATATTGAAACAAATGCAAGTATTATATTAAATATGCATTTTATTATTTATTTCCAGATCATCTTATTTTATTGAATCATCAACTTAAGTTCCATCTACCTTATAATTCAGGTGACACTAAAAGACATTCCGTGCTGCTATTTCAAAGAAACATGGAGTTTTTCTCCCAGTTATCGTGGTTTATATTCCATCCACATCTGCCTCCTTCCCAAATTCAAATACAGTGCTTATTCATCCAATTATTATGTTTGGGACATTGCAAAAGCAAATTATATCTTGCGTTTCCTTGCATAAAAACTTTCACTTAATTTCTAATTAATTTGAAAAGCGCTTTGAGATATTTTTATGTGCAATTGTCAGTTTTTGTTGAGTTCATTAGAGATTAGATTGGCACAGGTAAAAAACTGAGTTGTGTCATGTAAACTGTCATTAACAAGTGATTGCTGATCTCCAACTGAGAGCCGATACCAGTCAAATAATCAGCAAGTTAGTAAACCCAACACGTGTGTTTTTTCCATGCATATTCTGCATACCACACTCACATTGTGGAAATTGGTTTAGATATGTTATTTACCATTTATTTTTAGAAAATAGATTTGTCAGATTAATTCATGTGCCTACCTTCTGTGTATCTAACCAGGTCTTCAGGAATTCAATAATTTAGCATTTGCACATTGCTTAAAACAGGATCAAAATCTTAACCATTAAAATGAAACTAGACAGATTAATGATTTAAGATTATCAATTTATATCTGCCAATTTAACCTTTAAATACTAGCATAAGTCAATGTCACTACTGCTGAGGATAAGCTTTGAAGTAGAAACTGTGCTATCCAGTAACCTGATCCCAATTGGCTATAAACCACATGACTTGAAAGGCATTACTCACTCATAATAAGCTATTTCATGTGGTTCACCAGAAAGCACTGAAACGTTTAACAGTGCATCTTCAGCAAGAAAAGTGCTCAATAATATATTTATCATGGCCAGGGCATAAAAAACATTTCCCTGATAACAGTTTGTACGAATGATTGCATTTTATTCCAACCTACAGCTTTTCGTAAAGTGACAACACATCCTCACAAATGAGTCTCGTGCAGCTTTGTGCTCTCCAAGAGAATCTATTATAAATTAAGATAAGTGATGTGGCTGGAAAGTAATTATTGGGAATTGCTACAAAGGATTTCATGAATAAAAGATGCAATTAACATAATGTCTTTCAATTTGCAGCACTGGAAACATCCATTTAGTTTGTTTTACTTTTATAAAATAATATTTACTTTTTGTTCACAATATAAAACAATTTACATTCATATAGCACCTTTCAAGTTGAGAGGACATCTCAAAGTAGTTTACACAGCTGGCTGGGCACCCGACTGGTGGTGGGGGT